GCCAGGCAAAGGCAGAAATTTAAACCAGCGTGGTGTTTCAGCACCGAGTGATTTAAATTAAACCACAGAAGTGCACCTGTTTGGTTAGTACAAAACTGTATTTGGTAGTTCCTGATTGTCTGCATGCCTTTTCTCTAGCAGAAAGTTGAATAATGTAACTAACTTACCTGCAGGGAAGACCACAATACTCATATTTTATTTTACTTGCTTTTTGTAGAGGATAAAGAAGAAAACTGATTGCATAATAGCAAAACAACAATTTGAATCAGTGGTCCCGATTTCTTCCATAGCACATTAATGTTTGATAGTGGTTGCTTTAGAATCTGTCCTCCCTCCTGCGCTGGCTCACTGTATTTTGTATTCTGTATAGAAACCCTGCTTATGTCTGGGTAATAAGTTATTTTCAAAGTTTGCACAAAGTATTCAGTGGCAAAGAAATGATAATTTGAGGAGTAGAATCCGTTGTTAGGATGATCTTGGGATTCTTAACCTCCACATGGCCAGCTGAGCCTCTAAGCAAGTCACATCTTGGATTTAGGTTATTAGTTTTCTTTTTAAGCTGACAATCTCATCAAGTGGCTGCTTTTAAGCACCGCTGCTCTCTGAGGGCAACCTTTCCGTCTGTCCTTGGAGCAAGTCATTTAAGACTAGACATGCAGCTGATGCCTCTTGACAGCCTTTCGAAATGCTGGGGCTTCAACAGGGAGCGTTTTACAAGCTTCCCCTCTTCTTTCCTTTCTAAACAGGAGGGCAGTTAGTACTGTCTTTCATTTACTTGAACAGCCGCATTTCTGTTAATTCCCTCATAACGGTTCTCAGTTGGGCAGATTTTATATATTTATTTACTCTTACCTGAATGATATTTCGGTAAGAGCAGAGACATGGCAGCTTGTTCTATGGTTGCTTTAATGAGCTGTGCTCTCTGTCCATCCACTGATGGATTGTAAATCATTAAAATAGCTCCCTGGTAAGCACTCAGAGCATATTTCATCTCGGTTTCATTTTTTGATGTAGTCGTAAGTGAGCTGTACATTCCATAAGCACGTATGAGTGCTATGGCAACAAGAACTAGGAGGCTTGTGAGAATTGCATGGTATTCACTGAAGCAATATTTTCACCCATCAGGCACTTGTGATGACAACAGCCAACATTGCTTTTGGCCATGTTTCTAGTAAGACACATACCAGCACTCTTGCTGAGACAAATATTTGTTTACCCCTTTAATCAAGATCTGCTCTGCCAGAATTAGGTCTTTTCTCTTCTGGTAGTAGGAGCAAGGTTTACTGGATGCAGTGTCTTGCAAAACTTGTGTAATGTAAGATAAGTACAGCTGTGTAGAAACTTTGCTGATGGGGCTTTAACACTGGCATAGTCAGATAAAACCCATGATGTTAGTAAGCTCTCTTTTATGCGCTTAAAACAGAGCTGAACCACTTTTGTAGGAGAGACACTGCTTTATAGATTTTTGTGCTCTGTAGAGGGGCCCAGGCTGTCTCTGATCTAAGACTATATTTTGGTTTTAGCGTGGTGAATTTCAAAGCTCTCCCTGACTTCAGAGGAAACAGGATTAATGTACCTTTGCCTGGAGAAAAGAAGGCTCCCGGGTGACCTTAGAGCAGCCTTCCAGTACCTGAAGGAGGCTTACAGGAAGGATGGAGAGGGACTTTTCACAAGGGTGTGTAGTGATAGGACAAGGGGGAAAGGCTGTAAACTAAAAGAGGGCAGATTTAAATTAGATATTAGGAAGAAATTCTTCACCATGAGGGTGGTGAAACACTGGAACGGGTTGCCCAGAGAAGCTGTGGATGCCCCCTCCCTGGAAGTGTTCAAGGCCAGGGTGGATGGAGCTCTGAGCAACCTGGTCCAGTGGAAGATGTCCCTACTCATGGCAGGGGGGTTGGAACGAGATGATCTTTAAGGTCCCTTCCAACCCAAACCATTCTATGATTCTGTGGTAGGATGATCGCACTCATGCTGCTGTTCTGCAGTATCGGTGAGCTGCTGGTGCACATCCCTGTACTGGTCTCGGTTTTGGTGAGAGGCAGAGTTAGCTCTTTCCATGCTTGGTATTGATCCCTGCATAATGGAAGTCTAACTGGGATGGAAGGAGCAGTTTACCGGTGCCAGATGTTCATGCTGGGGCAGGAATCTCTCCTCAAGAGGAAGGGTGAGCTTGATGATTAATAATCTGTTGTTGACGTGTACGAAGGTGAGGTGTTGTTTCACAGCAGGTGTAGGTGTGATGTGAAGGAGTTTGGAGAAGGATGTTCTCCTGGCTCTTTTTACATGTACTTGCTTGCTACTGTGCTGCACAGGTGATTACACACAGTCCCATCTGTTTGGCTACAGCTCTGCTGCCCAAGTTCTGCCCACTCAGACTTACTGGTTGGGCAGCTCGGGGGAGCTGCTCAGTTACACTGAAGCAGGTGTTTTGTTCATCTTTCCTATTTGTTTCATTTTTATTGAGCTTTCAGAGGACCCACTTCCCATGGAAAGCTGGAAGAACTGTATCCTTCATTAGGCAGATACTGGGAGTGGAAACTTCCCAGAACCGTGGCAGGTGCAAGAAGGCGTACGCACAGGTCTTAATAAGCTTGAGGTTAAGTTTGAGCAACCATAATGGAGCCCTGGAACAGGTTGCTCAGAGAGGTTGTGGATTCTCCTTCTCTGGAGATATGCAGGACCCACCTGGACAAGGTCCTGTGCAGCCTGCTGTAGATGACACTGCTTTGGCAGACGAGTTGGACTGGGTGACCCACAGAAGTCCCTTCCAACCCCTACCATTCTGTGATTCTGTAGATGATCTCCAGAGGTTCCTTCCAGCCCCTAACATTCTGTGATTCTGTGAACCATTTCCAAAGTCAGTGGAATGCAGCTGCTATGACAGTAGTGAAGATTTTCCGAAGTGTTTCTTTTCTGAGGTGGGCAGGAATTTGGATGTTGCATGTATTCTGAGAAAGAGACTAATGTTTTGAGAATGCTTTGTGTCTCTGAGTCTTCCTGAGTTGTTATAGTGGGGAGTCGAGAGTAGAAACAGCTCAGTGAAGGAGGTCATTTGATGAGGTAGGAGCTGGCTGTTGGACTTCTGGTTCAGGTAACAGTAGTGGTTGCTCTGAATTTTTGTAGCTGATTATTCAGGAGTACTTTAGCAAAACTTCCTTCACCCTCTCTGAGCGTTGGAGGAAGTATGTTGTGTTTATCCTGGAAGTTGGAAGTTAGTGTGATCTAGTTTTATTTCTTCCGTAGGCTTTGACAAATGATATAGCCTACCATCCGCTTAAGTTTGAGAGAATATTCTTTTAGTACCGTTTGGACAGACAATGCCACTACAGAGAGACTGCATAAGCCATTTTTTCCCCATTACAACTCAAACCAGTTGATGAGTAGGAACTTACGGTGACAGAAGGACCTTCTGGGTGACAGGATTCTGCCTTTTGTACGTAATGTAACTGCTGTGGCTGCACCACCCAACACTTAATGCATGGAAAAGCTTAGGACTAAAGGTACTCTGCTTCTTTTCAATGCTGTCTTCACTGAAGGTGTTAACCACAGTCTACTAACTAGAAGATATTTCCTCCCCGTATGTGCTCCTCACCATGTAAGTTCTGGCCAAAAGCTGATTGGAGACCGTGCATTGATTTTTTTTTGTGAAAATGGGAAGTAACAACCCTTGCTAATCTCAGAGGATATTGGGTCATTTAATTTATCAATGTTTGTGAAGCAAAGTTATGTAGATAGGAAGCTGTATCTCTAACAACATGATGGTGTTTTTTTCCTGTGTTCCCTGTTTAAATGTTCTCTTGCACTAAATACGTCTACTATCTCAGGATCTTGATCCGCAGAGATGACCATCTTTGTGAAGAATATATAGATTACTTGAACAGAAAAGGAATTGTCTGTCAGCACAGCCTTTTCTTCTATTTGTCTTCTCCAGCTGAGAAACAATAAGCATAATCTCAGAAAAAATAACTCTCAGCAGAATTTACCATTAATTTGGTTTTCTAATGACACATAGCTTCTCATTCACCTTTCATTCGTTGCAGGTAAGAAGCGAATTTTAGGAAATTGAATTTTTCAAGTATCTGTATATAGTGAGAAGGATTATTTTTCTAAGAAAATTATTGGCTAGCTAGTTATTAACAAGCTTTTGGGTACTGTGTTCAGGTAAATGAAAGCACTAAATTGAAAACGTCAGATGTATTTTAAACTATTTGTACGGCTAAAGAGCGGGACAATGTAACATGCATTATTTAAATATCCCTTTAGCTTTTTATCATCTGTGTTCATGTAGGATTTCACCATCTCATCCTGTATTTGAAGCATTAATGGGCAGAATAGCCTAATATATGTGGATGTTGAACTTGCATAAAGATGTATAAGTGATAATATCATGATAATATCATAGTATTATGTGGAAAGTAGTTGTTACTATGCTCCTTGTAAGAGAGTGTGTGAGTTTTTGAATTTATTGTGAACAAAAGGAAGATGGGGAGACAGGAGCAGAAGGCCTGAAGTTGGTCTCTACTGATATAACCTGATTAGGACAGTGTATGGTCTTCATTGTTAAAGGTCATGGGAAGCGCGTGAACTGAGTAAGCGTTGACAGGAAAAAAAAAAATGCTGCCGTTATTATACTGAGATTGTCTGATGCAATTTGTTTCGTTTTCATTTCTACTTTTATTGATATGACACACGTGGTCTTCAAGCCAAAGGCTGTCTTTTGTAGTGCTTACATTTTGCCTGAGACAATGGGACACCTATTCATTGCTCAGCTTATGATTCTGCAGCAATCCAAATAACAGAGTAATACATGAGCAATATACTTTTACAAACGTAATTCATGTGTGAGCTACTTAATAATTTCAAAGCATGCCTGTATTAAGTATCATTAATATTAAACATGGCCATTGTTCCTGCTTCTGCTGACGTTTTATTCATTATTGCCATTGTAATAAAAGCTTTTTTTTGTCTTTGTTTTGTATGTTTTGTTTCTCTTTTAGGCTCAAAATGCACAGCAGCTCCATGAGAGGATCCAGTCTTCGAGTATGGACGCAAAATTAGAAGCACTGAAAGACTTAGCCAACTACTCACGGGATGTTACATTTGCCCAGGAATTTATAAACCTAGACGGCATTTCCCTCCTAACACAAATGGTTGAAAGTGGCACAGAGTAAGTGTTCTGCTTATACTCTGATGTTCCTCCCGTATGGGGTGCTTTCATGCTCACTCTCTGGGTGCCTGAAGTATTTCTCTATACAGCTTCTAAAATTACATAAAAATAAAACATCCGAAGAGTTCTGGTCTACTAGAATAGTACACCCATTATCAAGGAGAATTTTTTTTTTTAATTTTTCCTTACAATGGCTGGTGAGGGGTTTTCCACAGAGAAATTAAGTACTTTTTATAACCCAGTAGTCCTTAGATTGGGAAATGTAAAAGCACACTCTCGCTGATCCCTGCCTGGTATGTGGTCAATGGTTTATTGGACTTTGAATCCTTATTGCCTAGCTTTAGCTATGTACTGGATTTCTAGTAGCTCATGGTTTCATCTTCAGTGCTTTGAGGTTGTGGTCTTTAGTTTTTTTTTGCAGTGATGTGGTCTATGGCACATATTATCCCACTTTAAAAAAAAAAACCCAAAACCCAAAAATGCTTGTAGTCATCAAATTTGTCAGCTAGTCTTATATTCGTAGAATATTTGCTGTTTGGGGACCAAATTAAATTTAAAACCGAAGATAGGCTTGAGTTAATGTAAATGTATGCATACAATTACTGTACTGATTAAAAAATATACTGAATGGGCAGGCTCACATGTGCCTATGAAGATCAGAACATAAGCACATTAAGGTCACTGCCTCTATAGTTTATTTTTCATTAATTTATTTAAGCTAAATGGTTTAACTTATGCCACTACGGAAAGTATTTAAACTGAAGCAATTTATTTTCTGTTTAAACAGACAGGGAGCATGCACACTTTTTCAAAGGATTTCTTTTAGCTGCAGCAAAGCTAAAGCAAGTGTTCCCTCCTCACCCTTCGGATGTGTCAGTACTACTGTTTTGTAGCTGCAGGCTGGGCCAAGCTGTAGCAGACTGGTCTGGATCAAAAATAACTGTTTGGGAGGGAAACTACTTAAGCCAGCAGCTTTCACCGTTGAAAGAACTGCTCAGCAAATTACACCCTAGTAGTAATTCCTGGTTAAAGGTATACGTTTTCAAACCGCACAGCAGGCTTGCAGACTGGACATGTAAGCAGAGTCTATAGCTTTATTTTTTTTTTTGTTAAAGGGGTTTGCAGTTGGAGGCATTTCAGAATTTTCCTAATGTATCACCAAAGATGCATTGATCGATCTACCTGTCTAATCTATTTATCAGTGCTTCAGCCTGTGGGGAAAAACACTGTCTAGTTTGGGCAATGAACAAATACGCAGGCTGTAAGAGTTTCCAGCAGCTTCACGTGTGGATGAACTCTGAAGTACTCACTGCAGTCTTTTTCGTGTTCAGCAGCCTAAGTGTTCTGCAGCTTCTGAGGGGGTCTGCATGTCAGGTTTTTCCAAGTCTGGCTGTGCAAACAGAGTTGTAAAGCAAGGACATCTGTGCTGCACTGTACATTCCCCTCTGCTTTTATACTGTACGTCACTGGCTGATAAGTGCATATTGAACAGAACTGGAGATTTAATGAAAGGCACAAATCCTGATATGCACAGACTCAGCAGCCTAGGCCTGCCATGGTGCTGCTGCTTTCATTTCTTGTCCGACTTCGAGCTATTGATCCTGTCCTCCTACTTTAGGGTCTGTCACTCATTGCTGTTTCAGCCCACTAAGCCAACAGGCAAACTACTTCCACAGAAGAAGCATTTTTTTGGTTTGATTTGGTTTTTGCATTTATTATTACAACAAAACAGCTTCCTAAAATAGCCTGTGAGTGAACAAGGCGTGTGTGGGAGGCAAAGAAAGGTAATGTGTGGAGGAGAGAATGGGACAAGGACAGGCAGCCATTTGAGTGCCCTAGGCTGTCAAGCAAAAGCAACTGGAGTCAGTCTGTTGTCCTCTTACGTTCTTTAGTCCTGTTTTCGCTTGGACCCTCTGCAGTACTGTCAGTAGGAGGGTGTCCCAAGACGCTCGCTGAGCAAGCCAAGCAAGCTGAAGGAAGGCCTCCTTGCCATTAGCTCGCACCCTGGGCTGTGTGCCTTCAGCAGCGTGGGCTGTGCTGCTGACCAGGTCACCAGAAGCCTTCAAACCAAAAAGCTCTTTTCTCTCCTTTTCCCACCCCAATACCTGCCACTTTCTTTTCCCCAGTGGTATTTTTATCTCTAATCAGTGGTAGACCTACCCACACAATTATATTAGTGTTAGAAAAGGGGGAAGTAGCAGAGAAGGAATGAGCAGCCAGAAGTTTTGGGGAAGGGCAGAAACTTCTTTGATGGCCAAGTTTTAGAAGGCAATATATTTTGTAAGGATACCTTTAAGGTATATCTTCACTGCGGAGTTCTTGCCCACCTTTGAGTTACTGCTGTTGAGCCAGCCTTGCTTAAATGAGGCTGCGACTCCAGCACACAGCCAAGAGAACCCAAATGGCTTGGTGCTGCTGACAGATGGTCGGGCTCCCTGCCCTCATCTCTGGGTCCTTGTGTGTCAACACCTGCTCTCCAGCCCGCTCCTGCTTCCTTCCTGGAGCTGGTTCTGGTGCCTGGATGCTTCACAAAGCCAATCCAGCTTGTCATCTTGGCTGAAAAGTATCCATGTCTGTTTTGCAGAGTTAAGTTTTCTGCTCAGTTTGAGACCTGCAGAAGCCAGAGAGGAAGTGGGCACGAGTGGATGCAGAAGAGTCCCTTTTTTGTGGCAACAGACCACTGCATTGGCATCGGTGCGTCACTGAGCCACAGCCTGAGAGCAGGCCTGTTGTGAAGTAGCATGAGAGTGGCTGTCTCTGCTCTGGTGTCGCAACCTGCAGACTGGCAGGGAGACCCTGAGGGGGTCGGAGGGGACGGGACGTACCCCCTGGGGCAGCTGCTGCTGCAGCGCTGCGAGGAGCCCCTCTGTGCGCTCTCCCAGCTGCCCGGGAGTTAATGCAGCCCAGGGCAGCCATGCCGCCGTGAGCCCAGGCTGAGTGGTGCCTCTGTTCACGGTGCGGTGCAGCTGTGCTAGAAATCGATGAATTTTGTTAATTCAAGCTTTATTCTCTGTGTTCCCCAAAGGGGCAGACAGTACTCATTAGAAGTACCGTCATGCTCAGTGCAAGATTGCTCTGAGGTTTTCTCTGCACGTGGAACTCATGTTAGGGGCAGCTCTTAATAACACACTCAAGTTATAACTTAAGTTTTAGTGGGCAGCCTCTGGAAAGTAAGACTCCAGCATTTTATATAACTTTCACCGAGGAAGAGGACTATGCTTTATTTATAGTTTATTTATTGTGCTACTTACTCATTATTTCAGTGAAGCTGAGGACTATAAAAGTGCGGTGACCACAGTAAGAGAATGTAAATCCTTGGGTTTCTAGTTACCTCTGCTTCATTTTGCTGGTGATAAAAGAAGTGGTAATATAAAAAGTTGACAAGAACTAACAGTTTTTTCTAGTTAACTTTCAATATGTTATATTCCTGAATATTGAAGAAAATTAGAATGCATTAGAGAACAATCTTGGCAGTTTCTTGCTCTTAATATACCTTGAAATATAACAGATTGAGAGAAGTTGTTTATTTTGTGTACGTTTTCAGAAGCGGTTTTAATTCTACGTGTAGTTACCATAATTTGGGCCAAATCTCCTCGAGTGTCTGTGGCTTAGCGCAAATGAACTGTAGACGCGGTGCGTGCTGAGACAAAGCCATAGGGGTTGGTGGCAGGCGGATTGTAGGGTGCATAGGGCCCTAGTGAAGCTGAGGGTGCATCCTGTCGTTACGAATACATTTATCTTAGCAGAGATGCAGCATGTCTTAGAAACTGTCTACGTGTATCTCAATCCTGTTAATTGAAATGGCTCGGCTTTGTTTCTTCTTCAGGCTCATTCTTGCTTCCAGAGCACGCTACGAGACTCTTGTTAACTGAAGGAAAAAAAGCAAAAGAAAAAAAGTGCTGGTTTTATGTTTATGATTCAGGTGACCTATAAATTATAGCAGAGATTACAAGACACATTAGGTCACGAAAATCAAGTAGATACTGATTCCATTTTATAATGATCCATGATGTCCCATCATTTTTTGGACTCTGTGCATCTGTATCACCAAAGGAGGGGTCTGCGTGTGAATACACAGTTATTTTCTTTTTCAGAGACTTTTCAGAAAGAGATTTCCATAACATTTCTATTGCTGTTTTTTTTGTCTGAAGCCCAGTTCGTGCCTAGTTAAGGGGAGTTGAACATGCAGTCCCCCTGGCTGGATGTACAAACAGTGTAAAAGGGAAGTGTAGGGGTGTGCTTGTTCCGCCCCCCCCTCAGACTGCAGTGGCCTGAAAGGAGGCAGGAGGAGAGCAGTGCTAGAAGGTCCTAGTTACCATAATCACTGAAGAAAAATGTGTTCAGGAACCACACTGGAAGAAATGATCATGTCTCCTTGCTACCCCATCTGAGATAATGTAGTTCACTCATTCAGAGCTGTATTCCATTGTATAGCCCAGAATTAATATTTCAGAAAATTATGGCTGAATAAATAGCCTTTCTGATGTGGCAGAAGACTGGTGAGGATGTGAGGTTTTTTTCTTGATGTGTCAGAAGGGTTGTGTGACTGGGACAGACTCTCAACCTTCCTTAAAAGGAAGAAAACCTCCTGATAGTCCCTTATAAAGTAAGAAAAGGAAAATGTAAGTCACAAGCCATAAATATTGAAAGACCAAAAAGTTAATAAAAGGAATTTAAATTTATTTTTGTCATTACCAGTAATAATAATAATCTCATGACTGGGAGGAAAAGGAGGAAGGCCTATGCAGAATTTTCAGTATTTTTTTTATTGGCAGTATCACAGTCTCCATCACTTGTCATTTGGCTGAAATAACATGCAGTTTTTGCCAAAAAAAATGAGACTATGCTAAGCCTAGCTGTCTTGACAGTAACCAGAATTGTTTCTGCTGCTGTTGAGAGGGTGGTTCTTCAGAGGTCTGCTTCATCCCTGTGGCTGTGCTGAGCAGCTGTACAGCCGTGGCACAGGATCATGCTAGTCAATGCTGCTCAGACATGGTTGT